AATTTGAAAAAAAGCGGAAGATTTTTTCTCAAGATAGCCAATGAGCCTTTTACCTGAAGAAACTTCTCTCTTTTTGGAGATAAATTTATGTTTAAAAAAAAAAAAGCAAGAATGTAGCCTAATTATCACCTTTCAAATGGAGTTTACGGGGCTGGGGGAAAAAAAAGCCAGTTTTTCACTAGCGAATTTGATACTTATAACATTGAGAGGATACAAATGCAGAATGCCAGCACATGTTTACAAAGATATTATTTCACAGAGGACTTCAGAACTACACAAAACATCAGAAGTAACACATCATGTTAGAGCAACCACTCACAAGAAATCTCATTGCTCTGGTGGTATCCATCGTATAAAAGCAGTTACAGTATGGAGTATACGATAAACTGAAAAAAAGTTTTCATTCTTGACATAGGTTACTTACAAGTTGCACTAAAAAACCCAGACTATGGACGTTTTATGTTCAGCACAATAACATGCTGGAACTACACACAGATTAGATGACAGTGTTACAGTATTCATTCTTTAACAATCATTCCAAAACCATTTGCTTAGGCAGTGTTAAGATACAAGTTTGTGCCTGAGACCAAAAATTCCAAGATATTAAACAAATTTTAGAATAGTATTTTAAATGGAATACGATTTTAAAAAACAGATTTATGGCCTATGGCAGAAAATCACAGAAGAACCATTTTCTTCTCATATAGGACGGCAAAGCACAGCGTGGAGTAAGAGTTTGTTCCAATGTAAATTTATAAGGCAGGGAATAGGAATAAAATTTGAATTTTTTTTCCTTGGATAGAAATCCCAATTAAGATTATTAATCTCAATTAAATATTCTGGTTTTATATCAATTAAATATTCGAGATTTATATCGAGTAAGATATCAGAACATCATCCACAATCCCCGTTTCCAGTTGGATCGTTACTTTCTGAATTGCAGAGAGCCTCCCTTTTGAGTACCGCAAATGCCAATTAAAAAACAATCAAAAAAAGACCCAGCAGAAACGTTGGACCTACCACCAACGCTAACACCTTGCAGTATTGATTCTCTTGCCACATTTTAAAAGAAATTAGGTGGGAGAGGTTGATAATGATGTTGAGACACAGAGAAAATCTAGTCGCAACAACACTAACAGCAAAACCGTCAATACAAACCAAAGTGCGTATTTTTATTAAGTTAATATAAAGTGGAGTCAGGGCTTACCCAAAGATTCTGCAGTCGTGACAGTGGAATACGGGAATTCATAAACAATGCAAAATGTTACTGCTATTTGTTTTTGAAACCTAAACTAAGGGGAAATCATTTATATGTATTTTTTTCTTATTCTTGCTGCTGGTGCTTACTGCTACTGATTATTTGATTCCAAAGGACGAAGCACGTAGAGAGTAGAATGAAAAGAATGAATGGGGAGACAATTATACTCCATCAGATGTACTTGAAATCAATCACGATGCAGTTTACTCAGGCTGTTTTCTTGAGCTTGCTGTTTATACTAACCGTTCATGGGAAAATCTCTAAATGACCTGGCTTTCTGTGTATTGATTTTTAGCAGTGTTGTCATTTCAGCCAAGAGATCTCAGGTAAAGACTAAGTGGAAATGTTTTCTTTTATTGGGGAACTAAGAAATGCATGTAGGAATTTTCCGAGAAAATATAAAGGAGAAAGAAAACAAAAGGGGAGTTTACGCTCAAAATTACTGGGCAGGGCTGGAACACAAAAATAAGTTAAGGGAATAAACACAGTGGAGGGGAAAAACAATCAGCGAAAAGAAAAAGGAGAATTTCTTGCTTTTATTAATAAGATTTTAGTGATTTTTGCTTGCCTTTTTTGCATATGTAACGCATTTTCCTGATAGTAATTAAAAAAAAAGTCAAAATATTTTCATGTTTGTTCACGTATCTGCAAATTGTTTATCCATGAGGTTCCAGTGTACCTGTAGTTCCAGTGCACTACCATACTGTAGTATGGTTCGGTTTATGGCTAGTCTGTACATTAAAATTTGGTGACGTTCAGAAAGCTTTACTAGGTTTAAGAAGAGGAGAAAAGAGTTTAATACTTATTTATTCATGAAAAATAAGACTTTTTGTAAAAATCTCTAAGGTACATATTTGCAGCTCACTAGCCTTGGGACACCAGAGCCACAGTGAGGGATGGATAATGAGCAACACTTGACCCACCTTTTTCTGTCAATATAAAAGAAATTCCAGTATGAAGTATGAACAGTAAAAGGTAAACTGAATTTTTTTACCGCACTTTCTAGTTTAGTAACAGAATTAGGAGACCGGAAAATCAAAACAAGATGTTATTTTTAACCATCCAGTATTCATTTAACACCCAAGCAATCACTCCTAGTAAAACAGGAGGATAGGAAAGGGCGAGAAGGATGTCCATTGCAGCAACTGATTTGTTTTTGCCATTTTACAGAATCACAGAATCGTTTAGGTTGGAAGGGACCTCTGGAGATCATCTCGTCCAACCTCCCTGTTCAAGCAGGGTCACCTAGAGCATATTGCCCAGGATCACATCCAGACGGGTTTTGAATATCTCCAGGGAAGGAGACTCCACCACCTCTCTGGGCAACCTGTTCCAGTGCTCTGTCACCCTCACAGTGAAGAAGTTTTTCCTCAGGTTCAGATGGAACTTCCTGTGGTTCAGTTTCTGCCCGTTGCCTCTTGGCCTGTCGCTGGGCACCACGGAGAAGAGGCTGGCCTCATCCTCTTGACACTCCCCCTTCAGATACTTGTACACGTTGATGAGATCGCCTCTCAATCTTCTCTTCTCCGGGCTGAACAGGCCCAGCTCTTGCAGTCTTTCTTCCTAGGAGAGGTGCTCCAGCCCTCTAATCATCTTGGTAGCCCTATTTTAGTTATCAATAAGCTCAAATTACCTTAACATGCCAACCCAGCAAGAAAAACTATGGTGCTGCCCAGCTGCACGCTCCAGTGAGAGTTTTCCCAGCGGAACAGGTCATATTCTCTCAGTTTTCTGAGTTTGCAATTCCACTAATTTCATAACAATTTCTATACCCTGAAGGCTTTCAGGATCAGACCTTTACTTCTAAGGGGGAACATTCAGACACTCTTCACATTTTAATCTACTTGCAAAGACTACTGAACACAACAGTAATACGATTCCTAGAAAACTTGTTATATTAATAGTGCAGGAAAATCAATTGACATTTGAAGGGTCAAATACCAGCATGATCAGCTCGATCTAACCTAAATCCTACGCTTACTTTGTTTAGAATGCACAAATTAGATTAATTTTTTTTTAATACAGCACTACTAGGAAGTAGGGACTTCAAGTTTTAAGCCAGTGATTCTTCCTCCATCTCAGTTTCACCACCTGAAAACAGGGATAAAACGTACCTTCCCCACTCAGCAGATGTGTGGCTTGGCTCGCAAGGCTGAAAACCCTTTGAAGATGAGACGCGCTCATCTTTATCAGCCAACGCCAGCATTGCAATTACAGCACCTCGTCCTTCTTCCTTTAGAAACTGTCAAACATAATACACTGCTCCATGCGTCACAAAGATCAAACGCGTCTTACGCGACGGGTTTAAGATGGACAGGATATTATCTTAACAAGGTTACATGCAAATATAATTACTTGTTTGCTAATTCATTTCATTTAGCCTACAAATACTGTCCGTTTGCTTCCTGTAAAGAAGGAGCCTAGAGTTCTGCCAGTAAAGGGGATGCTATTTCTTTAGAGGGTGTATGGAGCAACCACTCCTTCATCACCACCTCCACCACATCAGCTCTATGTATTTCACATTGGTGTTATAAAAGCACTACGAGAACTGCACAGTTCTTGGATTCAGAAAAGAAGATATTTTTTATCCTCAGGGCACTGTCCAACTGCCACACATTTTCCATTAGTGAATTAATCCTGATTATCTTTTCATTTCACAGAAGGAAAATCAAGAGTAGAGAAGCCACAGGGCAGATTTAAAAGGCATTTAGGTATCTAAAGATATAGATAGGAATTGCAGGCTAAGAAAAGGTTCTTTTTAAAAGTCTCACAAGGTCTCTATCTGAATATTTAAGTGCCTACATACCCTTTAAAAATCTTCTTTTCTTGGAGCCAAAGAAAAAGCATCTAAATGCCAACTAGAACTCGTGTTCTGGTATCAGTATGACAGGTCTTCTGAAGAGCTGTATGGATAGCCGATTTATGAGACTGACGTCCAGAGCAACAAACATCGTAACTTCACGACAGCAGAAAATATACGGTCACCAACAAGGTACGCATACTCCCAAAGACTCCTCCTGCGGAAAGGTGCTGTATAAGCCATTTTCTTTCCTGTTTCCACACAACCCCAGGCAAAGCCACTGTCCTCGGGGCTCTGCTCCCCAGCGTTAACCTTGCTTCTGACCTTGCCGCTTACGCTCCCGCCCTTGCTACCAGCAGGCTCCTGCTCTGCTGGATGCACGCGCTGAACAAAACGCGGGCACCGCACCAGCAGGCAGGGTCTCAGCAGCGCTGTACTCAATACCCTCATTACCAGCAGGAAGAGGCCACACGGCCAGGTGCCTTGCGCTACTAAACGACAGATAGTTAAGCTCTGCTTTGCAATGTAATGAAGGCAGGGGAGTAAATGAGAAGAGCTCCAAAAGGCCTGTGAATAGGATAAAAGAGAACACAGAAATTTTCCCGTGATTTTTCTCAAAATATTCATGTCGGTCTATGTCAAAGCTAACTCACAAGCTGGCAAGCCTCAGTTAACCTGCTAGAAGTTGAGTTTTTCAGGTTAAATTCAGCGAGTATTTCAGAATCCACTGGATTCCTTATGGCAGTCTAACTTATTAAAGAGATTCCAAATAGGTCATAATTTTGAAAAAAACGGGTGACAGCAACTCTAGCTTCTGACTTAGGTACTTGTCTTTAGAGAACTGGATTTATAAAAAGCTCCACAAAACACGCTGGTCTTCTATTCAGTCTAACAAGCAGCAAACAGGATTTTTAAGGCTGACTTTGTTGTGAAACTACAACCATGCTCAGCTACGGGGCACGGCAGGTCAATCCGACAGCAACTACTGTGGGCAGTCAAGACCTCCATTCACTGCAGCAAGAGCAGCCCTACGTGAAGATACACAGGGAATCGCAGGAGGCCGCTGCCCTTTCAAAAAGTGAGTGGTACGGTGTTGCAGCATAATTTTGATGCAGTCTGGACACACCTGCTACATTGCTGAGTGAATCATTTACACAGATTTTCTTCTGACTGACAGAGGTGGCTTGCTAGGGAAACTCTGGTAATGAAGAGGTTAATGGGGACAGTTGTTTTTCTCCCCCCCCCCCCGCCGAGATGTCCATTTTAGAACCATCCTTTTCTATTGACAAACATTAATTTTTTAAAACCACTTTTAATTCTTGTTCATGACTTTATAAAGATGCCAAGCGTTAAGGGTGAAGGAGCGTGCTCGCTATAACTATAACTTGCAAGTCATTGGAAGCCTATTTTTGTAGAGTGCACACACACACACACACACACACACACACGTGTTTGAGGTACACACCTACAATTAATTTGCTGTCATCCCAGAAGAGAGAAGGACTGAGAAATGATTGAGAGAGTACACGTTAGCAAAACGTGCTAACGTGGAGGGATGTCTGTCTGAGCAACTCACTGTCTTGTCAGTTCCTTTGCCAGCGACTGACCTTTTTAATTCCCATATGAACCTGGAGCCTACCTCTAGCAGAAAAGACCTGCTACACACCTAGCACTGACAGCTAGAAACACTCTTCTTCTTCAGAGACTGGCAAGCACGGTCTTTTCTCTTAAGAGGGAGGGACCCTTTGGCCAAAGGAGGGGCAACATCGCAATGGTGGCCACCGCTGGCGGGCTGAAGCAATAGGACTGAACCGGAGGGTAACTCCACCGCCAGGATCTTTCCCACTGGAGCTCAGGGAGGCGACAGCTCCAACTACGCAGCTGATCCGATCAGCGAAGGTAGAGACCCCTACGGCGGCAAGTCGCAGCACGCAATGCTCCACACGGATTTCAACAGCTTCCAACTCAGACCAACTGCTCGGTGGCCGCATCTCTACGTTAAAGACAATAAAATGCTGCAACTCCAAGGGCTGTAACTGGCAGAAGACCAAATACCATAACGCTCTATCTATATGGCCTTATTTTTATCACTGTGCTTTCATTTCCTTAACAGCTTAAATATCTTCTTTATCTGAGATATATGTGCAACCTAGATTTCTTTTTTGCATAAACTACAATTTTCTTTATTGGCATCCACACATCCAGAGTAATCTCTGCAAATATCTAAAATAAAAAGCAACACAGGCAGCACAAATTAATCTGAAATCTTTGCTGATCCCTTGAAATACAAAGTGGCTAATTTTCTTTAACCATCTGCTCTGTCCGCCTTACACTAATCCTAATCCCCCACCTCCTCTGAAAACAACCTTTTGTGGTATCCAAAGCTCTGCTGTGTCAAGCAATAGGTGTAACAGATTTTCATTACCACGCTAGCCGCCACCATTAAGACCCATTTGCTTGGACTGCTAAGATAGAACAGCTGCCTTGATTTAAGATCTCCTCTCCAGCTCAGCCCTGATCAGATGAGCCTCAGAAAACTGGCAGCATATTTAAAGTTAGTCACTGTAATGAAGCCGAGCACACACTTTAGAAGTCTATTGTCAAAGCATAATTGCCAATGGTGCTACACCTTAGGACCTCCAGACTGGAGTAGTATATTGATTTCACATGGAGCAGCTGTGGAACACTGTGAAGACTTGCAAGCAATGGGGAAAGAACATATAAGATCTATAAAGAACATATCCTAACAATTTTTCAGAGATCGTATGACTGCCCTGTTAACCCTAATACAGTTCAAGATGCTGATGCTGAGCTATGAAAGTCTTTATACTGTTCAGGTCCAAGCTAGTTTCAAGATTACCTTTCTTCCTCAAAGCATACAACTGTTAAGGAAAGCCTTCTAGTTTTAATTAATAACGCCAGGAGCAAAACATTTTTATTGAAGCAGAGTTGGCAGTGGACTATTGTTCCTGTACTGATCAGATAGAGCCCTATCTGTCTACCTTTAGCACCAGGTGTATGGCTACGAAGACATGTCGGGTAAACAGGAGTCTACACAAACGCATCTCATCAGCACATGAATGCCGCTTTTTAATTTCAAAAATATTTCAAAGCCTTATCTTAAATTTACACAGCCTTTAACCAAGCTGCCTCAACAACCTCCTCCTTTTCCATGATCCCGCACGATAGCTCAGCTCTCGAGGAACAATGCAGCTTTGAGAGAAGCAGCAAGGACTGTGTATTTTCAATGGCTGGATGCCAACGATGAAAGTCTTTGTCAAAGAAATTTGCCAAAGGCTGCTGTTTAACTCCACATACAAACCGCATTTTGTGGAAACTTTTTCTAGGTGAAGCACCAATAAAAATCATCACTGCAAGTGAAAAAAAGGAATGCTTCATTCATATGCTTGTGAATGCAAAGGAATAACAGTCTTGATGAGAATGCACACTGGTACTCTTACTTTTTCTTAAGTAAAGCTTAATAAACATCTAGAGCTTCATACGCAGTGAGAAACGAAATTGGATTTCTAAATCTATATCTATAAATCTGTGAAAGTACCAAGTGTCTGATATCAGGAAATCCACTATTCAGTGCCTTTGAAAATGAAACTATATGTATTTCAAAGCCCAGAGAGAATTTAGGAATGTACATTTTAAAAAAAAACCAAACTTTAAAAACTTTTTAGATTTTTTTACAATCTACCCCTAAAATCATGTATGTTTGATAGAAGTGTTGCATGATGTCTATACGGCTTAATCCTCGCATGAGTATATTTATTTCTACTGCTTTTGGTCAATAAACAGTAGATTTCCATGCAGCTTGAATTTAAAACAGGAACAATAACCTGATTCTGCACTTTTTCCGCACACCAAGTACTACTTCCAAAAGCGTTCCTGTTGAGCTGGGATTATATGCAAGTAAGTAGTGTTGAATGTGAGAGAAGGCTGTGGAATCAGGACCAAAGTCAGTCACTCTGGAAAGATGAAGGCAAAGAGTATCACCCACCGCAGCATGAGAGGCAGCGTGGTTTATGTTTGTTTCTACAAACATAATGGTGGCTCAGAGCCACTATTTATATAGCACAGTAAAAAAATATGACCCTTGAAAACTATAATGCACTGGTATCATTTCTGGCCACTTAGTGGCTTTGCTTTCTCAACCTCTCCCCACCCACTGAAAAATAAACAAGTACAGGTGCAAGCTCCTTGCAAATAGGAACAAGCAAAGCTTCCCTAACAGCTGTTTTATCTGCTGTCTCTCAGATAATATTGCAAGCCAAAGCCCTAACTAATCCAACTGCTATAATAAAAAGGCTGATGCCATCATTTTTCTAATCACTTCAACAAGGAACAGACTACCCAAAGTGATTATTACTACACCGTGCTCCCTTTGCTTGCAGAAAACTGATCATCCTCCCGATTGCAGCCTTATATTTAGATTCCAACAATGAACGTGTCTTGAGCTTCGAAAGCAACGGCTGAGCCTTTTGGTTGCTTAGTTCCCTATCAGCCCGATGATTAGTAGAGACAGCCAGGAGGAAAAAAATAAATAGAATCTACATCAAGATCTCCATTTCACTATAAAACTCTCCCCTTTCAAAAACTCCATTCTGACAAGCTGTGTAGTATCTCCTCTAAAAAGAATAATTTTCCTTGGTTTTAAAAGACAGTGAAGAAGATGCATTTACACCTGCAACCCCTATAGATACGCCATCGCCCTGACAATAAACGCAGCAGGAGCGCTGCGGCAGCTGCGTGATTCTGTTCCTTGAAGGAGAAAAGGGCTACTCTGAACAAACGAGCACTGCCGGCAGACTTCCATGTTACCAAAGAAAAAGGAAAGAGATAAGAATGGCTCACGCTCTGAAACCGGTATCTTACTTAGTGCTTCATCCTGGCCCACACAATCACAGAAGCGATGTGAGATCATATGCCTTTTCAGGTGAATAGTGAGGGCTATCGTGGTAGAAAGGAGTCATTTATTCAGCCAAAGGATAAACATGTCGATTTGAGGGTGGCAGCACTTCAAATGCCTAAGATAGGAAGAGAACGAGCACAGTGTAAAACTCGGTGCAACTACCAGGTGAGATGCAGTGGAACTGACAACTTTTTATTGTACCATTTTCTACTATATTCTTCCCCAACATTAACTGTTACGAGAAGTCATCATTGCAGGTGTGCAGTACAAACCTTTTGTGCTATCAAGGCACTGCAGAATTACATAAAACAAATACTTTAACTGAAATAATCAAGAATGACTTACCAGAATTGAAGCCAAATAGGAACAGAGCTTGGCTGTTCTCCCGTTGTTGCTAGCAACAATATCCCAGTCTTGTTAATATATTGCAACTTTTTTATATGGGCAAGATCACCAGATAAATCAGTTCCTATCTTTCTATGGTAAACAAACCACATATTCATTCAATACGTATCAAATCCTTCACAGACATCTTGAAGTTAAGTCTTCTTTCTAAGAACATGCCAGGCTGCCTAATAAATTTAAAGGGTCTTATATAAACAGACCAAATTCCCTGCGAGGCCTATACAGTTCAGATGCATTACAAAGCAGATCCTCGCAATGAGTAAGTGAGCTTAGAGAACACCATCAACATTCTGAGAAAGAAAGTCAACTGTTTTGCAAAAGTTCTACAGAATTTGATGAATATTTTTCGATAGTTCCTTTTTGGCAATGAGCATGAAAGAGTCCTCTAAATTATTTGTACAATTAATATTTTATTTCAGTTCAATTTTTTCCACTTACCTTGTGTCATCTTACAAATCAACACATAAAAAGATAAAGAAGTAGGCAGCATTTGGCATTAGCACACGTGAAGAACACATGAAACGTTATGTCAATGCATCAGGCTGGTAGCGCATTATTACCTGCACAACACTAATATTGCACCGGGATATTTACATACAAAAACCTGCTCTCCACCTCAAAGACCGAACCACCTAGATTTTTGATGGAAAAGAGCCATCCTTGCAAACAGAACTTCCTGGGGTAGCAGAAGTACTGTTATTAATACAAGCCACATACGTGGTAAGGAGCAAAAGTAAACAACTAAGACATCAGCGTATTCTG